ATATATATCTATATATAATATATATATATATATATATATATATATATATGTAGAAGAAAAATTACATGAGCAAACTAATGATCATATCAGATCGAACGAATCGAAGCTGCAAACTTTTCTCAATTTGAAGGTAATTTTTTTCTTTTTAAGTAATTATTCCAAAATATATTCATATTCTTGTGATTATTTTGAAAATATCTATGAATTTATGAAATTTTATCATATATTTTAACTTAATTCGTTCTGTTTGTATTTTGTTAGACAATTATTGATAAGGAGTAAAATATTCCTGCTTTGTGCAAAGACACTGGCTCTAACTGTCAAGTGCAGCTATGCTGCTTACACTAATGAAGGGCGGTGCGTGCAACGAAGTTACTCAAAAAGTGTGGAGCCATCTGCCCTAGCCTGACATCGACGAAATGTTTTAGTATCGAAATCGGTCAGTGATATGTTATTTACATTTATTGATAATTATTTTAGATCATTAAAATTATTAATTATATATATTTAGTTTTTAGAAAAGTACTATAAATTTAACAATATATAAATCTTTAAAACAGTTTATTTCAATTATATTCTAATATATCTTTCGACATTTTCATTTTTTTACAATTTTATTAATAATTATTATTATGCATGAATCAAATATTTTAAAAAATGATATATAAATTTTTTTTTATTAATTGGTAAAATATTTATGTATTTTAAAATATTATGGATTTTAAATTTTTTTTAAAAATAAATTGGTTTTGAAATATTTCAGAGGTGCCAGGCAATGTGCATCATGTCGGTGCCTGGATACATATACAACTGGTAGTACTGTACGATACTAGCCTTCTTCAGTGGGATATATACCCTTATTATACTTTCTAAGCTTCCTACCCTAAACTTGTACATGCACAAACGCACACGCATAGCGTGTGCGCATGTGCTTTATCAACTTTTGCCTACACATCATGAGATTCTTGGGATTTATATCATTTCCCATTTCGGCTACTGTGTTATCTTTTAAATTGCTGTTACCACTTCATCGATTATTCTTTTCATCCATGTCTGTTGCCACTTGGTTTCTGGTGGTATTGGTAACTGCAGCCATAGATACACCTGCTAGTACTATTCCACCTGTACAAGAAAACAGATCTTTACATATTATAACACAGTTTCCTATGGGAGATAGTCAGAGATATGGATTTTATCCTTTAGATCCAAATACAACGAGAGAAGGTGCCCTTCGATTTAATCACCTTACTATAGATCCTACAACAGGAAGATTATATGCAGGTGCCATCAATAGACTTTTACAATTAGATTCTAATCTCAAACTGGAGGAATATGTTTCAACAGGTAAATATTATTTCTTTTTGTGAACTATATATTTTATACAAGAATTCTAATTAAAATTGCTAATTAAAAATGATTCTTATAAATTATTATCTTCAGGACCAAGATTGGATAATCCTCAGTGCCATGCAACAGGCTGTCCTTCTAGAGACATAACTACATCTTTAATGGATAATGTAAACAAACTATTAATTGCTGATCTTGAATCACAAACATTAATTGCATGTGGTTCCCTTCTTCAAGGTGCTTGTGAAAAGTACAAAATGTCAAACATATCTATTAAACCGGAATTCATTCCCCATAGTGTAGCAGCAAATGATGAAAATTCTTCTACATATGCTTTTATTGGACCTGAAAGATATAATGCTTGGGGACAAACAAATATACTCTATGTTGGTACTACATTTACTAATAGAGGAGATTACAGACACGATGTGCCTGCTATTTCCAGTAGAAATCTTCATAATTTAGAATTTGCAGAATATACATTTAATAAACAGTCAATTGTATACATTGATGTAAAATATCGAGATCATTTTCTAGTTAAATATGTGTATGGTTTCAATGCTAGCGATTATGCGTATTTTGTATTGGTACAAAAGCAATCTCATCTTCCTGAGGAAGAGGAAAAAGGTTATATTTCTAGATTGGCTCGAAGTTGTATCAGTGATCCAAATTATGATAGTTATACAGAAGTGACACTACAATGTACTGTCGATTTGGGAGATGGGAAACCACAATTTTATAATTTAGTACAAGATGCAAAAGTAGCACCAGCTGGTAGTGATATAGCTACACAACTTGGTATTTCAGTTGGTGATCCTATTTTTGTTTCTGTATTTTCGCCAAGTAGAGGGATTACAAATGAACCACTTTCTCGTTCAGCACTTTGTGTTTATAGTTTACAAAATATTGAAACAAAATTTACTGAAAACATTCATATGTGTTTTAATGGTAGTACTAAATACAGAAATATGGGCTATGTTAGTGGTCCTATACAAGATGGAAAATGTCCCACAGCAGGAGTAAGTGTAAAATGTAAAAAATTTTTTTTAAAATATTATTAAAAATATTATTATATATTATAAAGTACATATTTTTATATTATTATTATTTTATTAATTCGTATTTTATTAATTTTCATATATTCAGACAACAGGGAATATCTTGAATTTCTGTGAAGTGGGTTTGAAGATTTCTGGAATGTCGCCAATTGTGGGAGAAGCAATTTTATATTTTCCCGACGAATTCATCACTTCCGTAACAGTAGCTAATACAGAAAGTCACACTGTTGCATTCTTAGGTACTAACGATGGCGTCCTCAAAAAAGTTTTACTTTCTGGAAACGAAGCATTCGTCTATGAAAGTATTATAATTGATAAAGGAAACAGATTGATGCCTGATACTTTAATTTCACCAGATGGAGAACATATTTATGTTTTATCAACCTCTAAAATTTCTAAGGTTCAAGTGGAGCATTGCAGTAGTTATATTAATTGTAGTAGTTGTTTAGATGCAAAAGATCCTTATTGTGGATGGTGTTCATTAGAAAAAAGGTAAATATGCATAATGTATTTTATATTTTATTCTATACATAAATATTTTTCTTTTTTAGATGTACAGTCAGAGGAGATTGTCAAAAAGCAAGTCACAGTAGTCCAAGGTGGTTGTCTTTAGGTACAGGACAACAATGTATTGACTTTGAGCAAGTTCTTCCAGATCGTATGCCTATCAATCAAATAACCACAGTTCATTTAACAATTCGAACTTTACCCGAATTACCAGCGGGAGCGAACTATAAATGTGTTTTTGGTAACGCAGAACCTATAGATGCATTAATGACCGGATTTGGATTGTCATGTCCTACACCATCTGTTATTGAAAGACCAAATATACCAGACGGAGTCGATCATGTTCTAGTACCTCTATCCGTGCGTTCTAGTGAAACCAATAAAGATTTTGTCTCACGAAATTTCGCATTCTTTGATTGTTCTAGACATACTGTTTGTACAGAATGTGTAAAATCTCAATGGGCATGTAGTTGGTGTGTATATGATAATAAATGTACACACAATACAAGCTGTCAAGGTATCATTTCAGGAGAAAACGTAAGTTAATATAAAGATTGTATAAAATATAATTGTATTAATTGTTCTTAAAAAATATTTATATTTATAGAATCAAGCGAATTTGGCTGCGCATGGTGCACAATACTGTCCCAGATTTGTGCAACGCAAAGAACCATTGATGTTGCCTAATAGTGTACCTAAAGAGATAATGCTCGAAGTTGAAAATTTACCACATCCCCAAGTAGGACATACTGGTTTTCAATGCATTGTTTCTATTGAAGGTGCCAATTTAAAGGTACAAGCTCGTGTTGATAGCAGTCGTTTTATAGTTTGTGATAAAACGGTTTATTCATACGAAGCAGCCACCGGTGAATACGAAGCAGAAATAACTGTTGTTTGGAATATTAACCATCACGTGGATAAGACTACTATTATTCTTTATAAATGTGAAGTGTTAGGTTCACATCGTGAACATGCAGATTGTTCCCTTTGCGTGACTAGAGACGCGCGCTTCGAATGTACTTGGTGTGGTAATAGTTGCGTGTATCGACATTCTTGTTTACACTCCCCATTTACAGAGTGTCCAAAACCGAGGATAGATATGATTAAACCTTTAAGTGGACCGATCGAAGGTGGTACATTAGTTACTATTGAAGGTAGTAATCTAGGACTAAAAGAAAGTGATGTGGATGGAAAAATACATATTGGTAATACTCCATGCATATTAGTTGACTATGAAGTATCTGTACGCATTGTATGCCGTACTGGAAGACACGAAGCAACAGATACTGCTTCTGTAGTTGTTGGTAATGATGCTGGTTATACTGAAAGTGCAGTATTATTTAATTATAAAGATATAAGATTATCTGGTGTTTATCCATCTGTTGGCCCACAAAGTGGTGGGACTCAACTTGCTATTACTGGAATGTATTTGAACATTGGTAGTACTATTTCAGCTTATTTGGATGAATTACCGTGCCATGTTAATGCCACGCAAGCGAGCAGCACAAGATTAACTTGTGTAACAAGTAAATCTGACAGAGTAAGAAAAATTGACAGACTGACTCTTAGTATAGATGGTGCAAATCGCACTTTAGTTGGTAATCCTTATAATTACACTCATGATCCCACTATTATGGAGATTAAGCCATTAACAAGTTTTGCTTCCGGTGGTCGCATGATCACCGTACATGGTACCAATTTAGATACCATTCAAAAACCTGAAATGGAGGTTTACTTTGATAATGAATTGCTACCTGTGAATAGAACAGTTTGTACAGTATTAAATCCGACACAGATGGAATGTCCAAGTCCAAGCGTTGCTAAGCGTTTTATGACTCTTCGTCGCAATGAGCGTGCTACTGTTAATGGTCAAAGTACACCATCTCAGTCACTAAAATTAAAGGAATCTCAGTTATCCTTAAAAATAGCATTCATTATGGATAACGTAGAAAGCGTTCGAGATTTGGAAAAACATTTTAAAAGTCTTAGAAATCGTTTACTTTATGTGGAGGATCCGAAATTCTTCGCTTTTCCACGAAATATCAAATTATATAAAGGAGATACATTGGTTATTGAAGGAGAAAATTTGATTTTTGCTAGTGATGAATCAGATGTAAATGTCACAGTTGGAACAATGCCATGCAATGTGACATCACTTGCTTTAACTCAATTAGTTTGCATTCCTCCTGATCAACAACCATCTGATACAGACGAACTTGGAATTAAAACTGAAAATAATCTACCTTTAGTAGTGGTACGTGTAGGTCGTAGTTTGAGATTTCCTATTGGTTATCTGCATTATGAAGTGATTAAATCCTATCCAATTCCACCGGAAGCCATTGCTGGAATAGCTGCTGGCACTTTTGGTCTTGTATTTTTATTTGTTTTAGTATTAATAATATATAGAAGAAAAAGCACACAAGCAGAAAGAGAATATAAAAGAATACAAATACAGATGGATACTCTAGAAAGCAATGTTAGAATGGAATGCAAACAGGCATTTGCAGAACTACAAACTGATATGACTGATTTAACCGCAGATTTGGAATCATCTGGCATTCCGACTCTAGATCACAAGAATTATATTATGAAAGTATTTTTTCCTGGTGTCACACATCATCCCATACTAAATGATCCTAGATCGCGTAGTAATGTATCTCGAACAAATTATGATGCTGCCATGATCCAGTTTGAACAATTAATTAATAATAAATACTTTGTATTGACTTTTATTGAAACCTTAGAGGCTCAAAAAGACTTTAATATTAGAGATAAAGTGAATGTTGCGTCATTACTTATGGTCGTCCTGATGGGTAAGATGGAGTATGCAACTGACATACTTATGAATCTTTTATTAAGACTTATTGAAAAGGCGGTGAATACGAAACATCCGCAATTAATGCTTCGAAGAACTGAATCTGTGGTAGAAAAAATGTTAACGAACTGGATGGCACTTTGTATGTATAATTATCTTAAAGATTATGCAGGTTCCTCTCTATTTTTATTATTCAAGGCAATAAAACATCAAATAGAAAAAGGTCCTGTGGATGTGATTACACATGATGCTAGATATTCGTTATCTGAAGAGAGACTGCTTCGTGAACAAATTGAACATAGTGTAGTTACTCTTCATGTCGTCCAAGATGATCTTGATGAAAAAATTCAATGTAAGGTATTAGATTGTGATACTATAAATCAAGTGAAGTCCAAGATTTTAGATGCTCTCTACAAAAATACTCCTTTTTCGCTGAGGCCGTCCGTTCATGACGTAGATTTGGAATGGAGACATGGTAGAGGCGGTCATTTAACTCTTCAAGATGAAGATCTCACAACAAAATGTAGCGGCGAGTGGAAGAAAATAAATACATTGGCACATTATGGTGTCAAGGAATCAGCAGTAATGTCATTAATTCCTAGACAGAATGATAGTTTTTCTATCGCCTGTAAACCACCATGTCATAATTGCAAACCATCACATTATCATCATCAACAACAATCTATTCATCATCATACACATCATCACCATTTGCATCGTCATGCGAATCATTGTTCGTCCACACATCTTCCATCCACACCTAATCACAACTTAATTACTCCTGTAATGTATAATCATCCAGTTAGTGGTTTATATTTTGAATCTCATTCGCCACCGATTATAACAGCAAACGGTGACGTAGAAAGTGGTCATGGTGGTAATCAACGATTATATCATTTAGTAAGGCCTATAGAAGAAAGTCATTATCCGCCAGGTATGGGTTTTACTGGTAGCAAGCATCATCATCCGGAACGAACACACAAAGCTATCCCTGAAATATTTTTAACGAGATTATTATCAACAAAGGGTACTGTTCAGAAATTCGTTGATGATTTTTTGAATACAATATTAACAGCGAATGAAGCATTACCTAGTGCTGTAAAGTGGTTGTTCGATCTTCTGGACGACGCCGCAAAGCAACATGGAATTGTTGACCCGGAAGTGCCACATGCATGGAAATCAAACAGTTTACCTCTAAGATTTTGGGTGAATTTTATTAAGAATCCAGACTTCATGTTTGATATTAATAAATCAACCACGGTTGATTCGAGTCTATCCGTGATCGCACAAACGTTCATGGATTCCTGTTCAATGACGGAGCATAGACTTGGAAAGGACTCACCGTCAAATAAATTACTTTTTGCTAAAGACATACCACATTATCGAGAAAAAGTAGGTCGTTTTTACACAGATGTACAAAGACTGCCACAAATCACTGATCAAGAAATGTCTAGTGCCATGCAACAACTAAGTGCATCACATGCGAACGAATTTGATGTGATCGCAGCACTGAAAGAACTTTATATCTATGTCAGCAAATATTATGAACAAGTAAGTATCAATAAAATAAAATTAATATTTTATTATTATTGAATTCTATTTTATTGGGATTTCTAATTTATCAATAATTTAATTAATATTATAATATTATGATATATCATATAGATCCTAGAGGCCTTGGAGACAGACGCAGGCTGTCGCAAATTACATCTAGCCCACAGGCTAGAAAATGTAGCGTGCACACTTGAAGGAGAGGAAACCAGTGCCTGCTGACATAACCTTCTCATTGCCATCCCAGGACCCGTCAATCTCTCCAGAAACACTGATTAGTGCCTCCATTTCATGCAGATACACCTCGTTACATATGTACAAATCTACATCATGTGAATAATGCCGTAAAAAAATCTGTGCGATTTCGTTAAGGCTAGTCAGGCGATAGTTTTTCTCAGGATAACTTATCCTGGTTGTAATATTTACGTCTATATGTCATAGCCGTATCGAAATACGCTCGTAAACACGTACAGATATTAGTAAAATGATAAAAGAAAAATGTAACTTTATCCTTTAAATTAGATTTGTTTATTAATGTTATATATTTTCTTTATTTTAATATATATATATTTTCTTTATATTTAGTCAGCATTTTTTTGGCATTTTTTGGCATGATATAATAAAAAAATATTTTAAATAAAAATTTATCAGTTTCTGGTTGGATGTATGAAAATATTAACATTTTTTTTTATATAATCAAGGTAGTCAAATGACATATTTTTAATATTACAATAAATTTAATCTAAAATCTAGTATATTGTGGCCTTAAGATAATTATATATATTATTAATAAATAATATTATTAAATAAATCCAACAGTATCAATAAAATTGTAATTATTATATATATTTAAAACAATACTTAATTAAAATGAAAATTAATATTAGAAAAAAATTCTGGGAATATAAAATATATGCATATAATGCAATATATATCAAAATGCTATATTTGAAATGATAATTAAAAATGTAATGCAAAAATTACAAATAGAAGATGAATTACAATTTGAAAATAAATTATAACAATTTATTATATTTACCATATTATTTATTATTATTTATTTATTTCGTTTATGTTCTGTTATCATTGATATTTATAAATTTTGTTCCAAATTTCCTGTTATTTTAATTATATAAATATAATTATTGTTACTGTTGGATTTGTTTAATAATATTATTTTAAATATGTAATTTAATTTAAGTAAATAATTTTCTATTAATATACATTTGTATTGATTAGACTTAAATTTTTAAATTCAAGTCATAATTGTATTTATTTTTACATCAATTATAATTTTGTTATATCAAAAATCTATAATCATGAATATGCAACATATTTTTTATGGAAAAAAATTTTTGAAAATTTTAAATATATTAATATATAACTGATCAGAAACTGAAAAATTTTTATTTAAAACATTTTTTTATCGTATTATCAGAAATGTCTGAAAAATCCTAACTAAAAATACATAAAGGATATATCTTATATCCTTTATGGAATGTTAATATATTCGTGGAATAAAATTTTTGAAAAGTTGATTCCAAAGATCAAAACAAAATTAATATACAAAAATATCGAAAATGTGAGACAGAAATATAGTATGATGATGTAATGGAAATAGAACGGTTTTACTTTATTTTTATTTCGCTAATATAAATTTAAATTGTTTATAATTTAATAAATAAATCTTAATTAACATTTTTGCAATTAACTTTCTTAATATTTAATCTTTAAAATTAACTTTCTTAAAATGTTAATATAACGAATAAATTAACAATCTATATATATATATATAATAAATTATAAAAAAACAATAAAAAATCTCAATGCAATCCGTAAAATTTCCATTAATAAAAAACATAATTTGTCATATAATAAAAAGTTATTATTTCTTAACCAAATTAATATTAATTTGTTGCATTTAAGATTTGAGATGCAAAATTCATGTGAAATATTTGTAACAAAAAGAAAAAGTAAAGAAAATTAATGTTTTCATTTTTATTGTTGGCTAAATGTCTATACGTGTATACGTAATATATATAACAGGAAAAGAATATAATGTGTAAAATTTAAGTAAGAAAAAAGCCATAGTGTC